TTTTTTTGAGTATAAAAAACTATATTATGGTTTTGACAGAGGTGGTGTAGTGATCAGCATCGCACTACCACGTACGCATGGTCACGAGTTCAAATCCCGGATCAATATCCTCCTGAGCCAACCTTCCATCCCTCCTGGGTCGACCAAGGATGATAAAAACACTGACTAGCACAGCGGCTAGCTACCGCAAGTCTTTGTATAGCCCTTAAACGCATTCAACACGCCACTGCGATTCTGAGTGAAGTCACATTGGAGGGCGTATCCTTCAGATCGGATCGATCAACGCCCGAAGACTTTATTATGATTAATCGTCTCGACTAAGAATGGGAGCATTACAAGGAAAAGTGGTTAATGCAAAGGTCTAATGTGGGGTAATGTCCCGGTCTGTTCCAAAAAAACCAGATACCAGATTCCCATCTCCGAAAGGTTAGAAAAATTTGATGGATTGGAATCTCAAAATACAGCCTGTCACCTTTTTACAAATGCACTTTCTTCCAGCCGAGATACAAATAGAGAATAGATTTTTGTGTAAACTAATCTGCTCCCAAGATGCGCCATGCGCAGTTCTGGGTACTTTATGAGGTTTGCTTTCCCTATAAATGGCACAGATAGCCAACAAATATCTTCGGGTACTTCTGATTGACCTTTACGAAAAGCAACAAGCACTGTCGCTTTGAAAAACGTCCCAGATAGGGGTATCAAGAGCGTGAGTATAGTTACTGATGTCTGGGTAACTCAACACTTTCATGAAAGAGCAAGAACGTGTTCAACGTGTGGAGGCTGAGATTATTCGAGATAGAAGATTAATCGCCGGAATCTCGTCCAAATATTCTCATCGTCGTCACAAACTCGTCGAGGCTTAGGAAGAGGTATATATCCGAGATTTTTGTGATTTTTTTTTCATCATCACCCGAACACTCTTTTGCAGCAATTTCTTCCGCAACACCATAAACCTACATGGATCACAAGTTGAGCCTTTGGGAAATGGAATAGATCGGAGACTTCTCATCGGCCGCATAAGTTATAACATTCAACACAATGCCTAGAATTCTTCAAATGGTCCTTTCTCTAGCCCTGTTGCAGTAAAAACTCATTACGCCCTAGATGAATCGGGACTTGAACAAATTGTTTAAGCATCAACTCCATAGGATTCTCGTCGTCATTTTCATTTTCCAGTCGGTTTTGAAATATCAACTGGTTTCAGCTTGGGCGGATCCCGTTGCGCTGTTTTTCCTAGAAAGCTTGACATTTTTGACATCTGTATTACAATCGCACAGTGTAATGTGAAATGTGGTGCATAGTGGGATGAACTTTTGGGTGAAAATGTGAAGGGGCAAGGGGGAGGGAAAGGCTAGGGACAAACCGTGATCTGTTGTGTGAATGATTTGATGGAGATACCTAAGCGGCATGTTCTTGAAAATTTTTCGGTGGGGTGTACCGTGCAAAGAACACTAGTCCAGGGACAGTAGCTTTGTTCAGCCAACAACTCCCCAATGGAGTCCCACTTCAACAACCCCCATGACTTGATAGTGGTACTGTCCCCGGACTAGTGTTGTTTTTGGGGAGCACTTCATCTTAACTACCCATTCCTATGGCTACCTAGATACTCCTGGAACCTACTACTTGAACTGTGAATTTTCACAGTGAACATCCACCCTGAAGGCATGTTACACATACATAGAAAGTCATGGGACAACTTTGACGCGATTGGCACTCCTTGTTAGCATTTATTTACCAAACTTTTTCACGGTCTTGAAGCTATTAGCGAACTTTTCAGTGACGTGTCAGTCGGCCTACACTTCATCCGCCAAGGGTGGGTTCCAGTTCTCCACTAATTTTGGCTTTTTCTAACGACATCATTCCCGAAACTGACCACCATTGTCTACACATCCACCACTTTTTCGGCTACTGTTGGAACCTTGTAATGATTCTAGACATAAGCTCGCTCTCCGCCGAAATTGAGCGACTTTTTGCTCCAGACAAAGACGTGCTTCAGTGGTCGGGAATTTTGGAACTCAAGGCAAATAGGCGCTAAAGATGTTCAAGCAGCTCCCATCCGAGATCGTTGAACTTGACTCGGGTCAGAAGCGAAATGTGGAGTCTGGCATTGCCCCTGTGCTTGCAGAGTAGCCTGATTTCTTTAACCTGCAAGGTAACTTCGCTTACCTAGTAAGTGTAAATGACGTAGCAAAACTTTTGCGAGAACGTTCCAAGCGGTCTTGCGCTCAAACGAGACGTTTTGCAGAAAAAATGCAGATTTTTATCGGGAAAACTTTCTTCCCCTTCTTTGTTTACCTGTGGTGTAAACGCAAAATACCCAGAATAATTTATTGAACACATGGCACTAAGCGTTTGCCGAGCTAACGGCATAAATAACATCTACAATCGTTTCAAAAAATTCACTGAATTTCCGCATTCAGGTGGATCAGTGCTTGAATTTGCGTAGTACTCTTCTATTGTGAGCATAGGCACTGCCTTCATGCACGTCGTCTCTCAGCCTCAGATTGTACGGGTTATCAGCTGTGTTGTCGAAACTGAAACTGTGCACAGCAGCAGCACCGCTTTCGTGTTGCATTCGTTCGAAGCGAGTCGATCGAGGTGGGCATGGACAATATTCGGCATCGTGTCCAGGCATACCCACCGGACCCTCAGGTCCTTGTCGTCCTTCTTCTCCACGTGGTCCTGCTTTTCCTGGTGCTCCTGGTGCTCCCATTGGTCCAGGTATTCCGGTGATTCCATCATTTCCGCTAGGTCCAGGAGGTCCTGGTGGACCGGGTGGACCGGCAACTCCTGGAGGGCCTGGAAGAGCCTTTCCACGCTCTCCATTTTTACCTGGAGCACCGGGTGGTCCTGGAGGTCCTGGTGGACCCTGGTGGACCGGGTGGACCGGCAACTCCTGGAGGGCCTGGAAGAGCCTTTCCACGCTCTCCATTTTTACCTGGAGCACCGGGTGGTCCTGGAGGTCCTGGTGGACCGGGTGGTCCCTGGTCACCAGGTGGACCAGCTGGTCCGGGCACTCCAAGGCCACTTTTCGAAGTTGACTCGCCTGGTGCCCCATCTGGACCAGGAGGACCTGGAGGGCCATCTGGACCAGGTGGACCTGGTGGTCCAACAGGGCATTTTATGCAACCACTTGCACCTCCAGCACCAGTGAGCGAGACACCATCGTGGCCACGTTTGCCCTGCTCTCCCGGTGCTCCTTGCTCTCCTGGTTCTCCAGGTGGACCTGGTGGACCAGGTGGTCCTACTGGACATTTATTAGCCTGAGGGCCGCAATTGCAGGTGTCTGGCCATTGGCGACGTATTCGGCCTTCTACTACTGACCTTCTCTGACGGAAGGTATCGTACGGATGTGGCCTCATATGATGCCATGCCGTATTCGCCAAATCCTGAAACGGAGAAGTACCTCATTCAGAGTAGGAAACGACTCTGAAGCCAAGCCTTACCTTGAATTCAGCCAACTCTTCTATGGTATTGTCATAGAAGTTGTTGATATCATTGAGAATGTAGCCAGCGATCGCAATGGCAGCCAACGTGGTGGTGGCGGTGATGGCAGCGACGACGGTGATAGCAGTAGTCGTCGCTCTCAACTGAGAAGCCGTTGTCATGCCGTCACTGCTGAAAAACGGAAGGTTAAACAGTTTTCAGTCCAGTGGTGGATCGACAAGGAATGCGACATCCTAAAAGGTGCCCTGACGAAAAGGGAAACCAGAAGTCGTAGAAGTCCTGGATTTAGCTTACACTAGATGTATTCGTTTCGAGTAGACAAAAAGATTTGGCGAAAAAGAGGGAGGAGTTCGGCTCAGTGGCAGTAAGAGGACACAGGAATCAGTAAGACTGTGGTAGCGTCTGTCAAAGGAAGGGAAAGGCCGAAATTGTCCCCTTCGGAATACTGGAGACAAGAGAGTGAAAGCGACAAACACGATGGAAACTTCCAAATGGCTGGAAGTAGTGTCGAGAGTGAGACGACTACGTTCAAGGGCATATTTGTGTCCGATGGTACTCCTTTGAGAAGAAAATTGGCCACGGTTTTTGACGTAGTCAGGTGCAATTTAGGGGATTATGGAAGGAATTTCGACCTCCTTGCAATTCGCTTTCTTTGCTGGTGGTATCCCTCAATCATGGAATGACGACGGCACAGCAGTAGGGTGGTCTATTCTAACAAACTAGGCTGCAGGGGGGGGGGGCAGGCCTACTCCAAGTGATAGACGATCGAATGAAGGGACCTACGAGGCATCTTCTGGTATCTAAACTTGCGCTCGTCCTACAAGTTGAAATAGGGCATTCAGGGTAAGGTGAGGTGTGGGCGTTTGGTACCGAACCGGAAACAGACTGATTCTGCAACTGCAGAACATGAGCATCTTCATCTGGACAGTAGAGGAAACATGGTTCACTCCACTGGGCGAGGTTGCAGATCAGTCCTACACCTCCATAGTGATCAGAACAGAAACATAGCAAACATCTTCTATGATTTACGCCATTTCCAGCCGATTTGTAGAGAGTAACTGCTGACTGGAGGGAGTGGGAGAAGAAGCAGCTAGGTACCCATGAAAGCTCAGATTCAGTAGAGTTTTATAACAGAGTATGGTAGGCGGTTCATGTGAGGGATGACAAGGCGGCGAAAGCCCGAAGAGCTAGGATGGACCAGTCCAAAGGAATGAACAAGGAGCACGTAAGCCATTAGACATGCTTGGGAAAAAACGAAAGAATGCGAACCATTCAACGGAACGAATGGGGATGTCCCGGTCTGGATCCGATGGAATGCCCAAAGAAAGGGCATGGGCTATAAAGATTATGCATGAATGGCGAAAAGAAACTGGAAGAGAAGCCAAACAAATGATGGGAGCAAATCGTTTAGGTGATTAGAAGAATCGTTTTGTCAGTTTCCAGCTCATCTTAAAACCTCCATTTCTTTTGTGACCATGAATTATTACCATGAAATACTCGTTACTGTGTTCGTTCAGGTTCAATTCAATGAGTCCTGTTCGAGAAAAGTTCAGTTTCTCGGAAGAACTCCTTGGAATGTTCAGAACCCAGAGCTGGAAAAGGTAAATAAAAAAGGCAAAAGGATTTCCCTGCAGAAGACGACTTTTGGCCAGCCACGGGTAAGGCTAGGATATGGGCCATGTACGAGAGCTCCGTGTCAAGCAAACCCTTGAAGGCAGCCATGCCCTCTGATTCCATTCAGAATGATAGATGTACGACTGGTGCTTTGCCAACATCCGGAGTCTCATTTCTGGACAGAATTACCGACCTCTAAGGAGTGGACCCTTTCCCAGCCGCTGCAACTCGTCCACAACTGGTACGACCTGTGAGGAACTCGAGTCGGATGGCCGTTACAGATCGAGAAGAACCTGGACGCGTCTGTTTGGTTGTGGGTAAAAGTGGTAAGAAATTTGTTCCAAACAAGAATAATCTATGTAAGGAGCAGAAGATACGGGTGGAAAAAAGAGGTGACCCACTGGAAAAGTGCTATATGATTGCTGAAGATGGTTTGGTCAAGGGAATGGTTACCCTTAACGTCAGTGCACGGTGTGACCCTTATATATGGTCCAAACGACCAAGGCTGACCCAACCAGAACGTTTAACTACCGGCTTAGCAAGTTCGTTTTTTTTTGTTCTGTGCTAATCGGATTTCAATGCCCCTAACAACCTGGCACTCAGTCAGGCTATTGCATTGGCCCATAGACAGGTTTATGTGATATAAGAAGTTAGCTGCTTGTGAAATTCGATGTAGGATAACTCGGAAATGAGGAAGAACCTGTTCCGAATACGATCTAAGCGGATCAGAATGCGCCAATTAATTTTCGGATATCGTTCCAAGGATAGCCTACAAAAAAAAAGACGCCTACGGAATTGAATTGTCCAGTTTGAATGCAGTAATAAAAAGTCAGAAATCTACATCCCTTACAAGGTAACTACTATAGCTAATTTTATAAAATCAACTTTTAAACTCATTAGGCTTCTCTAGAGCTTAAACGACATCATTTTCAAAAACGACCTCTAATGATCAGTTCTGAAAAAGTCCTAAAAGGTCGGAAGGCCCTGATAACACGAAGGTGTCGTAGTGCCCTCAGGTTTCTATTTTCTCCCTCAACGAGATAGCGTCTTTGAGAATTCAGACGATTGCGCCAAAAAGGGGTAAGTTCCTTGGCATTAATTAAATCTGACATAGGATGCGCCCCACACTGGACCTCCTTACAAAATCGTAGTAGCCCCTGAATGTGTATGCGGCCTATACAATGTATTATTCTGGCTAGCCGATGTACAAATCAATGCTTTTGTTCTCGCAGACAATTATGTTACCACTTACTCGATCTCAGACAAACGGAAGGCTCGGTTGGCCCAGGAGAGTACATAGCAATCCGATCCGTGGATCATGCCTGCGCGACACTATACCCTCTGCCCCTACTCCACCTCCAAGCTCATAAACAACAATACTCTTAAAAATACTTTCCGAACGGTTCTGAAAGAGTAGAAGGTGCGGAAGTCTAGGCAATCCAGAATTCTGCACGGCTTTCAAGTTTCTTCGAAGGTAGTTTTGACCATGCTTCCGCTTCCCTTAGCTAATCATGCGGGATGATTGGGTCCGGTTCTATATGGCAAGCACTCATTTCCTCGTTTTCCTCATCTAAATAGACATTCCGACATGGAACTACTTAGAGTATCCTTGAGCATGATGCATAGCTCTGTTGTAAAGCCTAATTGAATGACTTGGAACTGGAGTACGTTTGCTTTTTAGTGGCCACATAAAGGTCCCCCTTGTTCGTCTCTATCGAAAAGCTTCGATCCATTAAAGAACCAGACCCATTCTATTCTTCAACGTTTTCAAAGGTGATCTCTGACCGGGTGATTAGAAGCATTACATTCGCTATTCAAGTCCAAATGCTTAACGATTGAATGAATAGAAATGATGAGCTGAAGGAGAGTCGAATATGCCTACTTGGGGAGAAAAGCTAATGGGAGGACCTTTGAAAAGCAGCTCCGAGGGAATGGGAAAAGGGGAAGGGCATGAATAATGACAATCGTTTCAACTTTCACAGTCACCTCTCCTATCTTAAGATAAGACTTGCAACTTACGAGGAGTGAGCCATGCATGTATGGGACAAATGCCCTGTCCCCAATCGTCTCTGGAAATGCCGTCAGTAGACGTCATGTAATCCTATTACAGATTAGGCGTAGAGGAGAAAAGAACTGGAATCGAAGAAGGGCTACACCTAGCAAAGAGACTTGCTGGACTATCCTACCTGGGGATCAAATACCAGGGTGAAGAAAAGGTCTTTCGTCTTTGAACAATCCCATTTTTTGGATGCGCCCCGCATTAGACTTCTTTTCAGAATCGTAGCAGCGTTTTGAAGCATGTGTGGCCTGTACAAAGTCTCGTGGTGTGCAGTCGATGAATGAGCCAAGTTTTTATCCTCTCAAAGGAGTCTGGAATCTTCCGAAAAGGATAGAAGATTTGGTTGGCTCAAACGTATATCGTTCCGGCATTCGAACTCGTTACCATGAGGTTGTGATAGTGCGCCACTTGCCACTACACCAACTCCGGATACAACTACGGATGATTATTGGCCTCAGGAATCAACGGATAGTCTTTAAGTCTTTGCATTTACATCCTAGAGGCCAACACTGACATTTCTGTGATGACACAATGGTTAAGAAATGATCGCGACATCATCAAACTCCATCAAATCGAAAGCGATTCTTATCTAGTTGACTCGATTTTATCTAGTAGTCCCAGAAACGCCACCATAGATCGTCGTTCTACAATTAGTTAGTTGTCTTGCCGAGCGTTGTACCGTCCAGCAATAACGCCCGTTTTCCACTTGGCTCGCTCGCAAAGTCAAAAGTGCAAAATCGTGTGGATACCAGTATGATTGGCGACTTTCAGAGGACTAACTTTTTGTATTTATCTGAACTGTACTTTGATTTCACGTCATCGTCCAATCTGGTGAATCANCATCAAATCGAAAGCGATTCTTATCTAGTTGACTCGATTTTATCTAGTAGTCCCAGAAACGTCACCACAGATCGTCGTTCTACAATCAGTTAGTTGTCTTGCCGAGCGTTGTACCGTCCAGAAATAACGCCCGTTTTCCACTTGGCTCGCTCGCAAAGTCAAAAGTGCAAAATCGTGTGGACACCAGAATGATTGGCGACTTTCAGAGGACTAACTTTTTGTATTTATCTGAACTGTACTTTGATTTCACGTCATCGTCCAATCTGGTGAATCACTAGACCAAGGCAGCTCAGTTTTTGCTACTTATCCTATCCCCGTTGCAATTTGTCACTGAAACGATTTATGATTTCCTTTTTTTTCGTTGATAGTCCTATTGGAGAAACCTGTTACGTTCAAGGATCCGTGGAACTAATATCATCCAAAAACATACATTTGCTGACCACTTGCCATCTACCATAAAAACCTGGAATGCCCATCCTTCCAATTTCAATTGGGAAATCAAAGAAGCTTCACGATGAGAAAGGTGGTCATCAAAAACATGTCTCAGGTCTAGCCTGGAGCATCTCGCATCTAAATCTAATGAAACTGGTAGTGCTGTCGAAAACTCGCTGAGCAACGACTCCTGAACTCCTACCGACACCATGGCCGTAAGGTATGCTCCCCCGAACAGAGGAGGGTCCCCTTCCCGATAAGGTATGTTCTCGGGGAGACAGAGAGATAACTGCTTTCGGGAAGAGCAGAGAGAGAGAGACCGGTATTGGGGCGTCCCAGCCCCGGATAGGAGAGCATACCTACGGCCCCATATTTCTGGTTATCATGTCGTTCTTATAAATGAACGGAAGCGGAGTGGAAGATTTCCCAAAACAGTAGCAGACGAGACATAGCGAGCTGTTGATCATTTGGAAAACGATCCTAGAAAGAATCTTATCACGCAACGCCTTTGGCACTGAGCTACCCACGCCTACATGGTAAACAATGTGAAAACAAACCTGGTAGAAGCTGAATGCAGGGCGCATCTCAAAATGGGATTCCAAGGGAAAGTGCCCGGTGTTCAATTGTCACACTTGACCCTCTTGAAGGGTCAATGTTAGCAAGAACTCTACCAAGGTGTGCAAACAGCCTACAAAGTAGAGGGCACGGTTAGTTTGAGCGGGGCTTAAGCTACTGATCGTTTCCGTGATAGCAGCGCTTTTACATCCTGGAAGCCAAGTTCACCCCTCCGGGATGATGGATATTCTAAAATGTCACCTACAGTAATCGACTGCGTATCATTCCGGCACATGGTAGGACATAAAGAAGTGTGGCCTGCATACAAAAANAAAAATGTTCTTGAAAGATTGAAGGGGTCAGGCTGCAGGGCTTTTTACATGGAAGGAACCACCTCAGGTCCGGCTTATCTTTTTGAGGGCTATTTACAACCTTTTTCCCAGTTCTGAACTCTTATTAGGGGGTAAGTCGAATGGTACAACCTTTTTATGGTCCATTTAGAACTACCGCAGAATCGCCGTCAAACAAGTGGTGGCGTATGCAATCTGCAATCATGCCCCTCATTTCACGCCTCAAAGTTCCATTGCACTTTAGAGAAACTAAACCGATTTTGTAAAGTACTCAGCTACTCCTTTGACTATCAAGTTTTGTAGCTTTCTATACTTTCCGTTTTTGTTGTTTTGTATGTGTGGTTAGAGAATCTATTTCTTTACGTTTTGGCTTAATGTGCCTATGTGTGTACATCTCCTTTTTTTCAGGAAAAAATGTGGCCGTAAAGGAGGATGTATGGTGGGCAGAAAGGATTGCGTCCCTGGTATCATTGGAGCTTAATCGATCGTGTATACCACAGCCCACCTAAAGCCACTTCATATTTCTCAAGAGGGTAAGTAAGATAATTCCTTTTTTATTTAAAAATCTTGTTTCCAATTCACAAATGAGATTTTAATTGATTTTTAGTGCTAGAAGTATATCCTTTTGAGAGTTTCGCTGTTTTTTAATGTAAGGCCATTGTGATTCATGTGGAACATCAAACTTTTTTCCCTTCAGTCGCTATTTACTTTAGTGTTTCGATTGTTCACTTGCGTTTACGTCAATTAATCCGCAAAATTCGCTTAGGGCCCTGCAACAGAGTGCTTCTTCCCATTCCTATTCCATGACGAAAAGGAGAGAACTCGTTTGAAGTGTCAGCGCCCTTTCAAACATTCTGAACGATCTTTCAATTAGTGTTTGACAAGGATGAGCTAGAATTTCTTGGCTTCCGGGCTCTGACGATGGCGACAAAGCCGAAATGCAACCAAATAAAAAAACCGAACACCTTCGCTGAGCTTTGTTAGTTCGAAACCAAAAGTTGCACTCCTCAGAAGCTCTATTACGATTTCATGGGCGCCTAATCACTGAAACTTCTAGTGCTTACTTGTGTCGTGAATTATTATGCATAGGTTGCGATATCAAAAAAAGTATCGCAAGGTTTCTTTGTCCAGCTGTTATTCTGATTGTCATCCCATTTGTTCCGATTTTGCGCATTAGTTGATCACTTCTCAGGTTGTGCGGCCGCCGGTCCTATCATGAAAAACGCGACTACTATGAAGTACTTGGTGTCAAACGTAATGCTACGCAAGAAGAAATAAAAGCAGCTTTTTATACAAAATCGAAGCAGGTTAGTCATAGACTAAAGCCATTCAATAATTCCGTGCAGACGAACACAAACTGTCAGCCAGCGCGTTATATCGATATCGAACTCGTAAACACTACGCACGGAACATCTGTTGATTGTGCTGAATATTAGGGCACATTGAGCGCATTATTTTGGTCCCCTCTGAGAAGTACATAACAATTCTCCAATAAAGTTGCCTTCTTTAGAAGTATTCTGTGTCTGTTCTTTTATTTTCGAATTTTTCAGTTACATCCTGACAAGAGTAACAATGGCAAGACAGGAGACTCGACGGCTGATTTTGTTGATCTGAAGGAAGCATATGACGTATTGCGGAGGCCAGCTGATAGAAGAGCGTACGATATGCAAGGGTTCAATGATGAACGACTGAAATATCAGGATCCGTACTATTACTACCGACGTCGCCAACGGCGTCCAGAGTAAGTTCCATTAAATCCCACTCTTTTCAGTACTTGTACAGCCGTACTCGGGGTATTTTTCATTCGAAGACGTCATGGGAAATGCATACCCGGTTCTCTTACTATCAAGCGTGGAGATGCAGGTCCCAGGGAATGACACTTGAATGGATCGGTTTGTTTGTAGAGTGTGCCATGCATTCCACCTCTATAAGATCCGTAATTTCTCATGCCCCTAGCGGCCATTCTGACAAACTGCTTTTCAATGATTGTTCAACCGTCGCGAAATCTTGAAGCAGGGTGGTGCAGTAGCCTACGTATTGTCATCGAATTGTATGAGCAAGAAGTGAAAGTAGGAAAAACCGAATCATTCGCTCATTTTGAGGTGGACGTTTTTCTATAGGACTGAATTTTCAGGAAATCTATTATATAATTTTGTTTCAGCGAGCAGTCTGGATTTTATGGAGCGACCGCTGGTACCACGGGAAGCATGCGTGATTCAGAATTCAGGCGAAAATCTGAAGATCACTGGCGTTTTGTCATGAAAGTGACGGCCATAGGACTGTTGTTGGTCGCAGCGTACAATATTATATACGTGTAAGTCCCTTCACCATGAGCATCGGTAATGTGAGTAGGTCCGTTCACGCCAACTCCTTTTCAATTGGTCACACGGCGCAGTTTTTGAATTTAACTGAGATGAAATGCTCAAGTACACGTAAGAAGCTTTCAGCTAGTCATTGTTTAGATAGGGTCACCTTCTCCAAGCCATTTTTTTCATCTCATGATTTTGTTATGCACTCGTGTTATGAAAATAAACTGAAAAACATCCTTTCTCACCATCTGCCTGTAGGCATGGTAGTTTCGCGGTTGCTTACCCGTTTACAGGTGTTGTTGAACTGTCAGTCCGGTGGAATTTCTAGCTTCACCACACAGTCATACACTTGTGTTAAGGATGCAGCTGCGAGCTCGGGAACGCAAACTTTCCCAACTTATTGATGAAGATGAAATAGCAAAGTCATTCATGAGGCAGCCGGAATTGAAGGATGTACTATTGGATGAATTGGAGGTAGAAATCCTTGCTTTTAATGTTAATCTTCCTTTGTTGTTATTTAATGGCTTCAATTGAAGATGCGTGAACTTGGTCGAATTTTGAAAGGAGATGTAGATGAAGCGTGGAGAAGGAAACAGGAAACTTTGGCAGGGAAAAATCCCAACGAAATCAGAGAGGAATACAGGTGGGACTCCGGTTTTCATTCTTGATTATTCTCATTTATCTGATTTCGCAGTACATTTCTAAGTTTTAAGATGGTTCCGAGCTGTCCAGGATGGAGAAAGTTCCCGTAGAATAAGACAGGAAAGAGCAGAACGGCGCAGAAGAGAAAGAATGGCCGCTCGTCGAGGCGATCCCGTAGAAGGACATTCCTCATAATAGCTGGCAGATGAGATTTCAGAGAGGCACAGCCCAACTTCTGGGGTATGTTGTGGTATAATTATGTTCTTGCCGGTTAGTGTTGTCATTATTTGTTAGTCTATTCATGCTCTCACCAACTCTGTCATACTTACTCGTTAGTAAGAACTTTGTCATACTTAACCCACCAGTAAAATCTGCTTATAGAATATAGTAAGGTGCAATTCGGTAAGTGTAATATGAAGGCAAGATCATGATGTCGGGCAAATGTGGTCACGTGGCTGACCGAGAAGGCCTTGAATACAATTGATTGAATTGAAAGTAGGGTTGCGACCGGGGTAAATGGCTATTTTCGCTGTAAACAATAACTATCGGTATGGCGAGGTCGGCGCGGCAAAGTACGGAACTCGGGCTAGGTCTTTCGAGCGCTTCTATCGCAGGTTGAGTTATTGGAGATTTCAAGGAAGGTGCGAAAATAGAGTCATGAGTAGCTTAATGTTATTAGTTATCGTAACCTTTATTTCTAAGACTGTTTCCACCCTCCCACACTGATCTATTCCCATGATCCAACAGATGCGACCATATCCTCGAACTACAGCAATATGGGCGAATCTATACAGCCGTTACTGAGTATCGTAGTCTGTGCCTTGAGATAATCTTTGCAAGAAGTCCCGTACCTCCTGAAGCGATTGTGGGTCCTCGAATCTCCTAATCGTTGTTATCATTCGGGCCTTGCCTATAGTCAAATTTCCATCTATTCTTGTAGAGTAGGCGCAGTAGGCATAGGTTGGAGTCCCAGAGTTTGCTGAGTGCTGTTTTTGTTTGTAAGTGAAGTTCATTCACTGCTATCACCTTGCTATTGCCAGCTGTTTTGATGTGATTCTATAGCTTAGCCCTTATTGTCGAAGCTTTAGCGACATTGCGTTTGTGTTTTTTTCTTTCCGTTCTATGAGATTTTTTTCGACACTCAGTAGTGCTTGTACATCAACATAATACATATATCGAAATATTGATTGTGATTCCATTCTCCTCGGAATTCATGCTAGCCCTACGTTCCTGCTCACCATGTATATTTTGTACTACGGGTGTTTATAGTCGAGTATAGCTTTTTCGGTGATTTCTTAACTTTGGTATTTGTAGATACAACAATAGACTACTCGGAAATAAATAATTTTTGTTGATGAACTGTTGCTTACTCTCGAGAAACTCCAAATCTATTTGGGACTCTGTTTTATCTGCTCTTTATGAAATATATGTAACCTGAGTTGAAGCGATTCAAGCGATGTCCACCAGACAACTTTACGATATGGCTGGAAAATTTGTGTTGATAACTGGCTCGACAAGTGGATTGGGTAGGTGTTTATATGTAGCTTGAGGTCTTGATGTGAAACCTTATTCACCACTTTACAAACCCGTGCTATTGGTTCTTATGAGGTGCTGAGAGTGCCTGTTGGGTAATGAACTATATAGCAGAGACATTTCGATGGTGGAAAGTGGTGACGGGTTGATAGGCTATTCGTTTCCTCCAAGCGCGGCCTTGACCTTTTGACCGTCTACTGCTCTGAATTTTTTTCCATTCAAAGTGTCGTCAAGCCAATTGCAATAAGAGACTTCCAATGCTGTCAAGCCCATGTTCGACCAGGGTTGCTCCACGGGTTTTCCTTGCGATCGCTTCAGTGTGACGCTCGACGGTGAACACTTAGTAAATATTAATATGAAGCCGGGAACGTTATTCGCTTGGTGGCCCGGAAGCAGATAATTGTAGCTGCCGTTGCAATTTTGTTTTGAAAACCATATGGTCGAGCAACGGACATTCCATGCATTTGAACAACGCAACATTAATAACAGCTAAAGAGCCTCATCTCGTGCGTGCCTTGCCTTTCGATCTCACTACAGCTTGAACGACGAGAAGTCACACAAGAAGTACGAGAAGTCTGACATAAACTACTACTTCAGGTCTTCATACTGCAAAGAACCTCTTCCTGAGAGGAGCAACGGTGATCCTAACGTGTCGTGATGAAGTTCGTGGACGGGCTGCTTTAGAAGCTGTACAGTCTCAACCTGGTGTCGATGACCGGTCACCGGGAGGTCGTCTTCACCTCTTCACTGTGAGTGTTAAACATTATTTTTTACTGGCAGGAATCGCAGATTTTTGTAGCATACATCTGCTGCAGGACATTTAGTGATAGTTCAATTTTCCAGTTGGATTTGACGTGCTACCAGTCGACCTTAAACTTTTGCCATGAAATAAAGCAACATTTTGACAGAATCGATGTACTCATCAATAATGCTGGAGTGATGGGGCTCGCGTTCGAGGTACGTGTGCTATTTGTAGTTCCATCGTTGTATTCAGTTCTTGGTGAGGGACAGGGAAAGATATATGGTCGGTTGTTTAACTCCACTATGGTGAAAAGTGTTTTTTAAAAATTGCTGAAGGGACCACTCCTCGGCTAGCGTTTTCAATGTAGGCGTCAGACGATCCTGTATGTATCCATTTGCCCACCAGAGTTCCTTTTTAGTGAACCAATGAAGCTATTCAAGCTGGATTAAATGAACTCAGTGAAGATTGTATTTTACATAACGATTTTCAGCTTTCACGAAACGGCATTGAGATGCATTTCGCTACAAACGCATTCGGTCATTATGTGTTGGTGAACAATCTACTTACATTGTTGGAGAAAAGTGATGATGGAAGAATCGTGATCGTTTCTTCTGGACTGTATAAAGGTGTAAGTGTGTATCAGTGAAAGCTCTTTTTTGGAAAGAATATCTTTTTCGGAAGCACTTTCAGGGGTCTTTTTGCTTACATAGGTGTGCGCATACGAATTAATGAACACAAAAAAAGGTTTCATTTCCGATTAGTGATGTTGGAGAAATGCGGGGGCTGTATTGGCTCGAAAGACACAGTAAAAACTCAGTAATCTATCTAGCTCCCCAAAGAAAATGAGTGGGATGAGGCTTGTGTTCAGGTCTGATTACATTTGGTGAAACTGTAGCGGGAAGGGTAAAGCTCTAACTGACGATACTTTTATGGAGGTGGTATCAGCAACTTGGGTTTGCTTGGGCGCTCAAATTGCTACACTGTGGCGGACTTTTGCCATCAATACTTCCTGTCTCGCCGAATATTTGTTTCTAGATGTGTCTCTCCTTATATGAGTTCGTTTCATTCCAATGTAGAGGTCATCCGGTCTCAAGAAAAGTTACAATAATTTATCCCTAAAATCTTTGACCTCGGGCGAATACCGAGACGAATGTAAAGCATCTTTGGAACTAAAGATTATACTCACGATTAGCCATACCCCATGGATAGTTAGTAGTTGTCTGAGGATGGGCTGATTCCAGGTGGACCACATCCCATCGATTCGGCAACTGATGGGCGAGCATGATTGGGACTACCAAGCAAGATTTGCGTATGCTCTCAGCAAGTTGGCCAATTGTCTTCATGCAGTAGAATTGGCGAAGTACGAATTTATTAAGAATAGTACATTCCTATTTTCTTTGGTGGTATCTCCGATTTTGGGCACATTCAGATGGTCAAATGTATGTATTAAGGCGTCTGACGGCGAATCGTTGTTCGACGAAAGTGTATGCGATCCGTCCAGGTTTTGTTGGAGGAACAGAATTGGGACGTGAAACGCATTGGCTTTTGCGAACTCTGGCGTCTCCAGTTATCTGGCTGTTTTCCAAAAACCTTGACCAGGTTGGTGGTACCCTGGCAATCCGTGCTCATTTTTAATGTAGGATTCTGATTGAATTACTTTTTTTAGGGAATTGAGTCTATCGTTCATTGTGCTGTAACGCGGAATGATGAGCTCACTTCGGGTGCGTTATATCACGGTTGTCAAGAGGAACCGTACGGACCTATGGTCACGCAGGTAAACTAGGGATTTGTTTTTTTTTTATTGAAGACGTTTGAACGATGATTCAGTCTCTTTTTTCTGAAAGACTTTTTTCTCTACCAACTGGAGTGTCTTGAGCGTACTGTAAATATCAAGCCCTAAGACCTAATCGTTTTCATGTTTACAGTCTCAAAGGGTACACACTGCTCTCATGCCGTCTATGAATACACAATTTTCCAGGAGAACGCTGCAGATATGTGGAAGATGTTCAGAAGAATGGAAGAGTTGATATTGATAAGGTGTCATACCTTAACGGAGGATGATAGACGTCAGGCTGAAGAGGCAAGAAGGGTACTCCCAAAAAGTTAAATAGCTTCTTTTCTAATTTCTCAATATGTTGTGGTAACTACTCGCATTATTTGCTTTCAAGTTCTTACCAAATACTTTTTGACCTTCCGCTTTGCTCTCTACCAGTAATGTGATGAAACTAATGTCGTCAGCATAATTTACATTTTTGACACTAATCTGTGCTACTTCTACTTCTACTTCTACTTAATGTACGTGTGAGGCGTTGTCTTCCGGGGTTGTTATTATATCGGCCAGTCAGTTGCGTATGGGACAGCCACTTCAAAAGTGGTCCATGGGTCAGGATATACCATCTTGGTGTCCTCCGCTAGCGGGTAGCCATGTAACGGCCCTTCTTGAGTCATACGGTGGTGGAAAGTTCCGAAAAGCCAGGCTGTTTCGACGGGGCAGACACGATCACATATTTTGCCGAAAGTCCTTGGAAAGGGGACTTGAGTCATCTTTACAAAAATGGTTAGGGTCCTCTCAGGACGGCCACATTAGACCTGGATGTGACCTGGACCGTTTTGAAGTGACCGGTACTATACGCCACGGGAGGGCTTTATGCTGTGATTGTCATATTTTCATAAAATCTGTCCCGATCAACTATGGCGAGCCTAAACAGCTGTTGATAAACGTCTTTTACTTGTGGCAAGCTAGCTTAATCAAATTCAATTTGCTAAGCGATTCAGCTTCTAGCAGTGCTTCAGTCATGGGTCTCAGTTGTTTCGTCGTAGGAATTAGAGTTATTCCTGATGTCTGCGCCTTCTAATCATCATGACCATCGATCACTGTTGAATTTTGCATCAAATCGACTTTCGTTGCAGCATTCAACACCTTGGCAGACATGCAGAAAACTTTGAGCCTATATCTGCTTTTCTGCTCTCCGCCTTTCTGGCAGAGACCGAAGAAGCAGACATAGGCTCGAAAGCCTGCATGAATATGCCAGGGTGTTGGATGTGGCAAATTTCTCTCGTTGTGATATCTTAGAAATTTAAAAACGTTGTGATACTCTTTAGCTATTCTCTTTCTACTTTTGCAGCCTGTTATTGTATTTCAGCATATATTTTTCAGTAGGCATTATGCGTGCTCTAAATTACTATTTTGATAAAGTATATATCGTTTTGGAGTTTTATCGATGCCACCCATAGTCTAAAAAGCATGATGAAAAGCAGTGATCATGTGACCAGTACGGTAGAACGGACTTGATGACTCTGAAGTCAGTTCGACCGCTCCGCAGCCGCGCCGACTGTGTTCCACAAATGTTGTCATTTATCGATCAGCGATGGTTGAAAGACACTAACAAGTGAAACGGAAAAGGAGAATCCTCTGAACCTTCAGGAAATGAACAAGAAACCCAACCTAACAAAAACTGGTAAGAAGGTAGGTACGCTAGAAAGAGGTGGAAATTTCCAGTTCAAATATATCTATTTAGTCTACCTGCTTCGCTAGGGTTTTGAAGCATGGGATGGTTTAGATCAAGCCTTTTACGAAAGCACCGTCAATTCGATAATGCTTCGCTTCGGAAGCATTTTTGAAAGTGAGTGGTGAACATTTTTTATCTTCTACTTAACCTTTTTTGTGGACGTTAACTAAATCGTACAACATTGGAAGCCTAACTAATTCAAAATCCGAAACACGATATTAAAAGGTTATAGCGGGCGGAGATGGTGTAGTGACAAGTGGCGCACTATCACACACGCACGGCCACGGGTTCGTATCCCAGATGGGAATCCACCTAGGCCAAAGAAGTCTTCCATCCTTCCAGGGTCGGTTAATTGGTACCAAACTTGTCTGGGAGGATACAAGCACTTATTTGTGTCATTGGCCGGCCACCGCTAGTCGTTGTATAGGCCATATACGCATTCAATAAGCCGCAACGATTCTGAATGGGAGTCGAATGCGGGGCGCATTTGAAAGCGGGATTGATTTGCTCAAGGACTTTGCCTTTTGCACTTTGTCCTCTGATAAATATTATTTATTTCATATTTTTTCAGTTTGTTAGGATGGGAAGTGACACCAAAAAGTCATTTTCGCTTTTCAGCTTCCCCGTAGAGAGCTTCCCCTGTCTTTCCTTCTCCATGAAAGGGATATATTTCACTGCACGAAGGTTTCTGCTAATCGATTCTCGTTAAAACCCCATAAACACTCACTACCTATGAAGGCAAGGGTACAAAAGGTTCTAGACCCCTCAAGTTCCTCTACCCATGGCATCCATACGCTCTCAACATCATCTGTTCTCCTCCGATGTTCCCTTCTATAAAGCGACTTGATCTCTAACGGTGCTCAGATGCAGGTGATGGCCAGGCTATCATAGAAGTGGACTGAGGAATCATTCATTTTTGTCTGTTTGATTGTAGCTGAAAACGAAAATTAAAGCAAAGGTACTGAAAGGAATAATGATAATGAAGGGTGATAAGAATCATCAGTAGAGGCCTTTTTCAGTGTTTAGGACAAAAGAGAGGTAATTAGTGAGTAATTTTTAGGTTTTGAATAAAAAATCAGAACAAAATCCCCTCATTGCTTTCTCAGACGTATAAAGCGAGAGGTTTTGTCTGACAGGAATCGTCACCATCATTGTCAGACATAACTTTGCATTGTATGAAATCCATGCATTTTTAATAAAGGCGCTGCTTCCATATCATCATGAATATGATTCCATAATAATGGATTTTGAAAAAAAGGCATAGTTTTTGGCTCTCCAGCCCCGATCAATGGGCCGCTCCCATGCATCTAATTTTCCGTCAAAACCGTCGTGGATTCGTAGTGGGTATTTGTTCTATACAGTAATTTGAAGAGATACATAAGCCATCCTTTGACTAGTATGATTCCTTCAATGACTTTTGTTCCAATTTGCCAATCCTGAAGATATCGAAGATCGTGTTGGTGTGAGCAGGATCCCATACGGATTCGGACCAAAAATATCGAATCGACCGAGGGATGAGAGGAGGATTCTCTCAACCGTACTGTACGCCAGTAGAGTAAGATGTAACAGCACAAATAGGTCCACATTGATCACCACATACGCGGATTAAAATTACCATTGGCAAAAAAAAACTAACTGATTCCCGGTCATGATTATGAAGGATGAGAGGATAAAGTCTTTCCCATACCAATCCCTATCTCGCGATGCTACCCTGCACTCGACTTCCATTCAGAATCGCAGTGGGCAGTCTATACGATTACTTACGGTGACCGGCCGATATACAAGTCAGTGCTTTTGTACTCCTAGACAAGTCTCCTGCCAATTAACCGGGCCTGGAGGAATTGGAGATTTTGTTGGCCGGAGCGGGTATGGATTAGGGATTCGATTCCGAATCATGCGTGTATGATAGGTTGTCACTTGCCACTACACCACATCCACCCAGACGATTGTATAAATATTAAAAGCTAGAGTATTTACGCTAGCGAATTCCTATGGATGATACTCCCACAGATTCGACTTTCTTAAATTCCAATCAAGAGCTTTACTAACTGGTATTGAAACCAGTCCTGCAAACGACGCAGATGCGGGAAAGCATTTTAGTCACTTCACTAAGCATTTTAGCACTTTAGCCACTGGAACTGTTGAAATGGCCTGTAAGAGTAACAATTAGAATCCATTTCATCTGTCAAAAAAGAGAATCAATCTCATGAAGAGGGGCCAACACCATTGGTTGGAACAGCTTCCTAAGAGCATAACAAGAAGTGAAAGTTGGACCGGTTTCCATTATGAAATCGCCTCTAAAGATCTTGACAACGTCACGGCCTTTTACGATTCACTTTTATGATTTTTCGATTGATTTTTGATAGGTTTGATAATGCGACAGTACAGACGAACAAGGGCGGAGTTCCAATGAATCACAGACGACGAGCCGAAAGACCTCTCCATAGGCTTTTATGGGACACTCTTACACACGTGTGTGAGTATGCGTGTGAATAGCTTTATTGTATTTTGATTATATAGCAGCTTGCTGCCTTCAATTTCAATAGGATCGATATTGATCTGAATGATCTGAATCTTTTCACATTGACTTTTTGCTGAGCTATTTCACCTCGTGTATTGATGCTATCTCTTTGACATCCCATCTCCTTAAAAATGTCTCTTTTGATACCTCTGATGAGAGCTATCTTCTTAATGGTGAGTGCTCCACAAGAATCTTCATGGAGCTTATGAAGGGAGTGAGGGAGGGAGTGGAGGCAGGGCTACTACCATATGCATAGCCTAGAGACCAAAATCTAATCCCACCCGGACGGAGCAATAAATTCATCTCTCCGAAGTCATCTAACTCATCGACGGTTCACTAGCGTTGAAGCCCTGACCGTACCCAAGCTGGTCCCCACAAATCTTTATAGAGCACAGGTATGTGCACAGTCATATGTCAATAAGATTTAAGGCTGAAACTGGAGGCATGGCGCACTCTGGAAAAGTGTTGTCTGGTCAAAACCGAAATCGGACAGTTAGCATGTTCTATTCCGGTTTCAATGAATCAACCCCTCCCCTAGATACGCCATACCTTCAACTTCAGGCAGATCTTTTCTGAGACTGCACTTCGAAGGAAATCTCTCCCAAGCTATGATCTTTGTAAAATCATTTGCGAAGACATTTCTAGCAGCTTCTTATTCTGCTTTCCCTCATTGATAGCTTTGGGAACCGGGCCCTCGCTTTTCCATATGTTCTCGCTTGGCACGTGCTTGTACAAAAAGCTGTCGCACACCCTGAATCAAAGCAGCAAAATAGTCGATTTCAATGAACTTCTTTTAAAATCGAGGCATTTTCAAACTTCATCTTCGATTCCTGGTGTATTTGAAAGCCTTTTTGGTAAAAACAATTACCTAATGGAGTAAATCATTGTTCAGGTCTACTAGTTTTTCCTTTTGCACCTCCATAGACAAACCCAGAGTCATTTGTGAAAGCTTGGGTGGTGAAGGTAGTGAAGACCAATTTGATCCCAAGGGCTGTACAGGTGCGAAACCGCGTTTCTAGTGATTGCTACATCTCCATCAGTGTTTTATTATCATTAACTGGAATGCCAATAAAAGTT